TGGTGACATGGTGTGTACCACACTAAACATGGACCAGAGGAAGCCAAGGAGAGAGTTGTCTCAGGAGATTAGAAAGAAAATTATTGACAAGCATGTTAAAGGTAAAGGCTATAAGACCATCTCCAAGCAGCTTGTTGTTCCTGTGACTACAGTTGCACATATTATTAGTGGACTTCATGGGAGACGACCAAGGAGGACACCATTGTTGAAAACAAATGACAAAAAAGCAGACTGGAATTTGCCAAACTGCATGTTGACAAGCCACAAAGCTTCTGGGAGAATGTCCTCTGGACAGACGAGACAAAACTGGAACTTTTGGGCAAGGCACATCAGCTCTGATGTTCACAGACGCAAAAAGGAAGCATATCAAGAACAGAACACTGTCCCTACTGTGAAACATGGAGGAGGCTCTGTTATGTTCTGGGGCTGCTTTGCTACATCTGGCACAGGGTGTCTTGGATCTGTGCAGGGTACAATGAAATCTCAAGACTATCAAGGTATTCTAGAGAGAAATGTGCTGCCCAGTGTCACAAAGCTTGGTCTCAGTCGCAGGTCATGGGTCTTATAACAGGATAATGATTCAAAACACACAGCTAAAAACAGGGTACCATCATTTTTGTCCAGGACTGTTTCATGAGTTTATTTTTTTAAATAATTCTGTTGAACCATGGTTCAAAAGCAATGTCTGATTTTCACTGGTTAATTTTCATTGAATTTTTATTTATTATTGCTTTTGTCAGATTCAAGTTATTTCTGTGACCATTGTGGGTTTTTCTTTCATTAACCGAGGGGTACCAACAGTTTTGTCCACGTTTGTATTGAACTATGTTTGTGTGTGTCTTAGAGTGTAGGTATGTGTGTGTCTCAACAGCCTGTGAAGATGTACTGATTACTCCTCTTGGTGCAACAGTCGCTGCAGGTCACATGTGTGTCTCACCATGCTGTCAGGGTGGATAGCAGGCCTCTCCATAACAACAGTGATGCAGCTCAATGAAATGAAGAGCAAAACTATGATGTCAAACATGGTGTGTGAGATCAGCCACTGGCAAAACACACGGAACCTAAACACAAACACACACTCCAATTATAACAGCTGTAGTCACATAAACATAAGGAGACTACAGAGAGAAACAAAAACCTTCTGTGTCATGAAATCTATTTCAATTCAATTCAACACATTCTCCTCACTGTGAAGCCACTTTTTCAGTGCAATGTGAAGTTATGTGCCTTTATGGAAACAGCACAACTACAACTGTGTCCAGACATAGAGGGAACTCAAAAATGGCTTGAACAAAGTGCAGTATGACAAAGTTATGACATAAATTAGGGTGAAAAAAACTCAAATAAAACTAAAGTTGAATTTCTGTGATCATTTATTTTGCAAAAAGAAAAAAAATGAAGAAACCTGGAATCAAAATGTACGACATTTTTCTAGGTGTTACCAACAATAGAAAACACTATGAATATTTTACCACTTAACACTTCATTTGTTTCCATTCTTGTCTGCTATCTGCTCTATGGAAACAAAGCCAGCAGTTCACCTGAAAAATGTTTGTCACTGTTGGATGTGCCGTTAGAAAGCTAAAAATTTGACAATTATTTTTGCTTTTACAGTTTCTGACTCTTATGAATGGTGCAATTTGGGTATTTTTTTTTCAAAGATAGCATGCCTTTCAACCTAGCTGGTGGGTTTTGGGGTTCAGAGAGGTAGATTAAATTAAATGAATGCAACCCATACTTGAATAAACTACAGCAGGATGAAGGTATACAGTTCCTCTTAATGTTCTTGGTTACTAAGAGTCAGTTTCAAAATATTAATGAACTAAATTAAAAAGAAATTGCTGACATTTTTTTCAGAAACATGTTCGCGAGTACAGACTTCATAATATGTAAATCTTTACCTAACAGTTACTGTAGTTCTCCTCAATTCAAAGTGATAAACAATGAGAAAGTCAAATGGAACCAGAACTTTTGGGGTTCTTCAATCTGATAAGTGAAGGCATTCTGTCATGCTGATGTTCCTCACAGCTGCATTCGCACATACCATCCATATTGCCAGAGAGCACAGTGGTAAGGAAGTGATATTTGTTGTTCACGCGAGACTAGTCAATACACCTAAAGATTCATAATAATGCAAAAACAAAATGGCTGCTGATTAAAGTTTCCAAATAACTAACAGTGATAATGCAGGTATTATGGCTGCCGTCAGATTAACGGAGCAGAGTGTGTGTCTGAGACGGGTAATAGTGAAACTCTTTGTGTGTTTCAGTGTGTATTAGACTTACCGGTTCTGTGGCGAGAACAAGTACAGTGACCAGTCTTCACGCTCTCTGCACCAGCGGCGCACTCTCTGGGTCAAGCTCAGAGATGCCTGCGGGAATCAACAGCTACACATCAGTCACATCTCCTTATTCAAAGCACAGACAAAGTCACACTATCACATGTCTTTATCCAAGATTAACCAGCCTTTGAAAACTGTCCCTCTTAGAAACTCACATTGTCATCTGCTGGCACAGTCTCTTCCACACTCGTGGGCTCAGGATTGTCTTGTTCAGGTCTTGTGGGGTCCTGGAACGACATGAGCAAGTATCCGTTAAAAAGTCTCTTAAAACCTTCTCAAACCAGAATTTAGAGGCTTTGACTCTCAGGAGCTTACTGCTGGTTGCTGTTCAGTGGCCTCCTGCGCAGCTCTTTCAAGTTGCTGCAACAGCAAATACAAATTACCATAGGCAAGTAAGAAGGTGCTTGAGTGTGCCATAGTTGGATGTTTGTCAATACAGTAAAAACATCTAGCTTTATGAAAAAAACAAAGACAGAGATCTTTACCATAGCCTGGTAGCATTGAAGCACTATGCCTCCGAAGACATTGAGGAGAACATGGTGTCCAATTAAAATGATGACAGCAAAGTACAGCATAGCCCATGCAGAGGTGGAAGCCATTGAAATGTAGGCCACCTTATGCCACTCCTCCAAGGTCAGAATCTGGATTGATAGATTTAATTTTTTTAAAAATTTAAAATTAAAAAAAAAAAAAAAAAGTAATACTGGCACAGATTAGCACACAATTTGCTTTATGGTGCTGATGCAAAAATTAGGAGGTCAAAAACTAACCTGGAACACAGTGACCATGGACTGGAGTAGGGTGTCAAAGTATTTTCTGCCACCAATGATTTGTGAATATCCTGGTATGGACCTCCAGCCGAAGAGGTGCATCCCCGGTACACTGACAAACAAACAAACAACAAAATGTAGTGAGAATCTTGTGACTTCTTGTGACATCACTGTTCAAACACATGGAAAGGAAAGATTTGTGTGTTTGCATGTGTGTACATGCCCGAAAAGGAAAAGGAAAATCAGCATCAGCCAGCAGAGCGCAGTTGACTTTTCAGCAGTCCTCATCAAGACCATCAGCTCTCTCCGCAGGTATGGGATAAAGAAAACAAGCCTCCAAAACCGCAGCACGAGAAGTGCTTGCACACCTGACAGCTGGGGAGCTGCTTGACACAAACTGACAACCACAAACAGACACATTTTAACATGTTACTCTGTCTGACCACTGCAACATGTGTTTATTATACTTTACGTCATGGCTACATATTTTGTTGTGCTAGCTTGTAATCGGAGTTGTAGTTAGTACTGCCAGCATACACTGTACTCCAAGCACTGCTGCTGTATTTTCATCTAAATTCAATATGGTACAACTTTTGCTTGATACCTGAAGAGTTTATGTGTAAAATAATGAAAGTTGAACCCATACAATGACATATCAAAACATTGTTCAATCATAAAAAATATCACAGGCCACAGCAATAAGAAAAGATCAGGTTCACCTGATGATGACAAGGACAAACTCAAAGATGTTGTCTCGGTCCTCAAAGTACGCCAGTGAGAGAGCCAGCAGCTTTAGAATCATCTCCAGGAAAAACAGAACGGTGAAACATATGCTGCTGTATTGCAACACGATTGTCAACTCCTTGGGCTGTAGGAAGAAATAAGGAAACAGAGCAAGACAGGACAAAGTGGAAGACACGTGTAGGTGGTGAAATATTTAGAGAAACAATGGCGATATAAGCAATTAATACAAAATAAGTAGAAAAGACAAACAGCCAACATTTTTTTTTTTCTTCCGAGTTCCTGTGGTTTTCTTAATGAAATAAAACTGTGCTAGCACTGATCACATTTGTACGGTCAGCCAAAGAAAGTTAAGCTTTGTGCATCATTCGCCCCACACAAACCTGCAGGACACAAATAGTAAGTAAACAGAAACACTTCTAACCTGCTCATGGTACTCTATGGCCATGGTGATAACATTGAGGAGAACAGCAACCATGATCCCGTGTTTGAAGAGGTCACTGTGAACTGCCACTTTCAGTTTTCTTTGGCAATCCTTCAAGATCTGAGCGTGGAAGATAAGGAAGTCAGGTACATGACTTCTCTTTCGTGAGGCAGTAGGACTTCTACTGCTACTTGTACTTCTACTACAGTGAGTTGTTGACTAAGCTTACCTGTGTGCCATTTGTCTCCATCGGGATGCCAGCGGGGAACACCCTGTCCTGGCACCTAAGGTAAAAAAGGCAGGACATTAATCACAGTAATTAAACACCGCCATTGCAACATTTATCACAACCGGAATCTGAAAAAAAACGAAGAATCATCAGATTTCTACATATCTGTTTGTAGACACCTGTGATGCTAATTAGAGGACACACATTGATTGAACATGTCCCTATGGTCACATTATTTTCAGTCTTTTCTAGCGGTACCATCATTTTTGTCCAGGACTGTTTCATGAGTTTATTTTTTTAAATAATTCTGTTAAACCACGGTTCAAGAGCAATGTCTGATTTTCACAGGTTAATTTTCATAGAATTTTTATATATTATTGCTTTTGTCAGATTCAAGTTATTTCTGTGACCATTATGGGTTTTTCTTCATTAACCGAGGGGTACCGACAGTTTTGTCCACGTGTACATGCTACAACAACAATGAACTGTGCTGTTGACTCCAAAATGATTTAAATCCTCGCTTAAAATCATGCTATTTCATTCATTCACTTTATTCTACATGTCTCATTTAAAAAAATGTCAGAAATTAACCATTTGCAAAAAAAATAAATAAAAATCTGTTCTCCTTTGTGCAACCTGGAAACCACAACTGATACAGTTGCCATGCCAGAGGCCGTATTTACAGCCAATAGAGTATCTGACCTGATGAGGCAGTGAAATGCTCTGCTCAGCCACGAGGTCACCTTGGAAAACAGGTTTTTGATGGACACAGCATCAGCATCTTGCTCCCCTCTGTCTCTTTCCATGATCTCCGAGAAGTGACTGGCAATGATGACTCCACACACATTCACGATGAAGGTGGTGCCCAGCTGATTGAGGAAGCAAAGAGTAGCAATGTAGAGCAATGGCTTGAAAACTAAACTACACTGCACTGAATAAATACACTGCTAGAGTAGCCCTGACAGAGAAATTATGTGGAACAACCCGTCATAATTTCTCGAAATATAAAAGTTTGGGAACCTCTGCTTTAGTGGCTGGTTTCTGGGAGGAGACATCATGTCTGTTATTGAGCATAGTTTAAAACCTATCTACAGGTAAGGGACTGTTGGGTTATTGAAAAAAAAAAAAAATTATAACCTGGAGGAAATTTGGTTTTCACTGGTTCTGAACTCATACCAGTCCCAAAGTAACTCAAATCTTGCTGTATTTTGCTGCTGCTGGATTTTCAGACTTTTAAAAGCAGTGTTACAGAACAACAAAAACTGGCCAGCTAGTTATGTTGAACACAGTATTTCAGCCACATTGAAGATTTACATGTATTGAGGACTACTAAAATATGTTTAGATTATAAGGATTTTTCTGAGATGTAAGGAAATGGTCAAACACTAATGTTGTTAACTAAAACTTTAACAGAAACAAGTGCGTACTTACAATGGTGGCAACTAAAAAGTAGCTGAAACTCCAGAAGGAAGAGGAGTCCATGAAGTACCCCATGATGTTCGTCCATCCTTTAAGGGTCATAACCTGGGGTTCGAGACAGCAGCACACATCAGTTAAGAAAAAAAAACAGTAAATAAGGAAACAAGTCTATCGCAGGGCTACACTTAGAGACAGACAACCAAGCACACTCACATTCACACCTACGGACAATTTAGAATCACCAATTAACCTCAACATGTTTTTGGACCTTGTGGGAGAAAGCCGGAGAACCCGGAGAGAACCCACACTGCACGAGGAGAACATGCAAACTCCATGCAGAAAGATCCCGGGTGTCCTCACCGGGACGCGAACCAGCGACCTTCTTGCTGCGAGGCAACGGTGCTAACCACCACACAATAACACAGTGATAGTAGAGAGTAACAGCACGGTGCAACATTAGTAATAATAATATTAAAAGTTAACATAACCTTTAAGTTTAAAACACTCAGAGCTGGTTGAAACAGTAAATCAAAACTAGAAAATTTCCTTGCAGAAAATTTGAGAGTGCCACGGGAGTCTGCCGGGATTTAAATGATGATTTTATAATTACCAAACCTACTAAAAACTTTGAATAACCTACGCTTCAGCTGTGTGGAGAGAGCAGAAGGGGAGGGGGGGTTGGGAGTAGGGTTAGAGCGTTGCCGGGCAACGAAGCACACAGCTGCCACAGATACTTGGTTTAACTGTCAAATCAGTGGAAGAGACCAGAAGGAGAAGACCTCAAACAACCGCTGTTTTTGTCAAAACCGTGTGTCGGAGAGAAAAGCCGAGCACATTTTCAGAAAGCCAAGACCTTGGGCATTACAGAGATGTATTTTATATTTTCCTGGAGTAAGAAATTGATGTAAAAATGATGTCTGTGGCATAAAAATTGTGGCCAGGGCGACAAGTTAAAAAAAAGTTTACTGTGTGATTTTTTTCGACGGAATAGTCGAAATAATAATAAGAAAAAGCGCACCAGGATAACAATATAACAATATAACAATAGCCCGTGCCACTAACTATCTCCGAAAGAGTAATGCTGGGTATGATGGCAGAGGAAAACCAGACTCATGTCTTCACTCTTAACGTAAAATCTGTTCCACAGTCCTAATAAATTCCTATGTATCAAATTCTTCCTGACCTGAAAAACGGTTATCCAGGCATAGCCGATGTTGTCAAAGTTGATTGCGCCCATATGTGGGTTGTGGTCCCCTGCCCGGCACACGTTGTAGTACGCGTTCCAGTTGACACAAGCGTCTGTGGTTTCTCCAACCACGGCAGGGACAAACTCATTTGGACACCAACTGTTGAGGGGAACCAGTGTGCAGGTTTTCCCATCGTCGTGGTAAGCTGGTATGTCTTTGCAGTGCTTCATCCCATCGTCTTGGTCAGGCGAACAGATAAATGGCTTTTGTTCACCAGGACTGGATGTAAAGTATGGGCTCAGGGATGCATTGCACTTCCTGGATAGAGAAAGAATAAGAACGGCCTATATACAATCAAACTAGCAAACTTTAGAGAGGATGTGTATGGTGTGTGTGTGAAAGCGGTATTTACATACAGTGGCTCATATTAGTGTTACATAAACATACAGCGTTGAAAATAAGTGTTAGACGACCTGCTGTTTTTTACACAACACTAATTATTTAGTTTCAGCCTTATCATAATGGTTAAATAATGACAGCAGAAAAGAGTACGTAAAGAAGATGCTGGTAATTGAACTATTACACAG